TGGGGTGTGACTGCTCTCAGCATTCCTTCTGTTGGCAGAGACAGTTTGTCAGCTTGCCAACAACTTGCATTCTGGAGAACAGTTTGCCGCTTTCTCCAGTGATATACTGAGTTGGTCACGACCCTCATTCTTTCGGCCTCCAACAAGTGCCTAATCATCCAGCCATATCATGGGCTACAGCCTATGAATTAGTATATAATCACACCTCTGCAGATTTCTCCCTCCATGCAAAGAGCACAACCAGGTGTACTCCTCGAAGTTCTGCCAACTGGGAAGATTTCCCTTCACCACTGTACTTCAGGGATGTCCTGGAAAGGGGCTGCAGTGCTGCGGCAGTCCACTTTCGGGTGGTGCCTGCATATCGTGCAGATACATTTGTGAACCAGGTCCTAGTCTTCTCTTTCTCTGCCAGCTGATCATAGTGAACTCCCTCTGAGAACTCCAGTGCAGGCTGGGGGATAGAAAGCAGGGTGGCAGGAGTGGAGGCCACAGACATTTGTGCCATTTCGCCATGTAACTTACTTGTGCCTTCAGGACCTGCTCGAGCCCGATCACGTATATACCACTTCCATTTAATGATGGAATGCTGCTGTGCATGATCCACTTCATGGCTAAATGGGTTAGAAAGCATCCAGTTCATGACAGGCAGTTCAGGTTGCATAGTGACTTTAAGATGCATAGTCAAATGTTCAGTTTCCACCAAAGCCCAGTAATAGGCCAAGAGCTGTCTCTCAAAAGGAGAGTAGTTATCTGCAGAAGATGGCAGGGCCTTGCTCCAAAATCCTAGAGGCCTCCACTGCGATTCACTTGTGGCGGCCTGACCAAGGCTCCAAGTAGCTTTGCTATCTGCCGCTGACACCTCGAATACCATTGGATCTGTTGGGTCCAATGTCCTGGACCTGTTGCAGAGCCTTCTCCTGTTCTGAATCCCACTCAAAACTGGCAGCCTTTTGGGTCACTTGATAAATGGACTGGAGTAACACACCCAAATGACAAATGTGTTGCCTCCAAAATCCAAATAGGCATTGTGCCTTTCTTGGTTGTAGAAGCGGCTAAATGCTGCGACTTATCCTTCACCTTAGAAGGAATGTCTCAACAGGCCCCACACCACTGGACACCTAGAAATTTTACCGAGGTAGAAGGTCCTTGAATTTTAGTCAGATGTACCGCCCATCCTCTTGCATGCAAATGTCTCACCAACAAGTCCACTGTGTTTGCTACTACTTGCTCACTGGATGCAACCAGCACAATGTCATCAATTTAATGGGCCAGTGTTATATCTTGCAAAAGAGACAAGCAATCAAAGTCTCTTTGAATAAGATTTTGATACACAGCTGGAGAGCTCATCTATCCCTGAGGTAGGACAGTAAAGGTATATTGCTGGCCTTGCCTGCTGAATGCAAATTGCTTCTGGTGGGCCATGTGGACCGGAATGGAGAAAAAGACATTTTCCAAGTCAATGGCTGCATATGAGGTGCCAGGAGATGCATTAAATTGCTGAAGCAAGGAAACCACATGTGGTACAGCAGCTGCAATTGGAGTCACCACTTGGTTAAGCTTCCAATAATCCACTATAATTCTCCAAGATCCATCTGTCTTCTGCACAGGTCAAATGGGAGAGTTGAAAGGGGATGCTGCGGGAATCACCACCCCTGCATTTTTCAAGTCCTTGATGGTATCACTAATCTCTGCAATCTCTCCAGGGATGCAATATTGTGGTTTTTTTCTCTCTCTCTTTCTTACTTTTATGGAGTTTCACTCTTGTTGTCCAGGCTAAAGTACAATGGCAGAATCATGGCTCACTGGAAACTCCATCTCTGGTTTCAAGCAATTCTCCTGCCTCAGCCTCCCGAGTAGCTGGGATTACAGGTGTGCACCATCACACCCTGCTAATTTTTTGTATTTAGTATAGATGGGGTTTCACCATGTTGGTCAGGCTGGTCTTGAACTCCTGACCTCAGATGAGGTGATACACCCTAAGATCCAGCTTATGTGGATCTTTTCTCTTCTTTTCTTGGTTAATCTCACTAATGGTTTATTAATTTTATTTCTCTTTTCTAAGAATTGGTTTTTGTTTCATTTATCTTTTGTATCATTTTTGTTTCAATTTTATTTAGTTCTGGTCTGATATTGTTATTTCCTTTCTTCTGCTGGGTTTGGGTTTGCATTGTTCTTGATTCTCCATTTCCATGAGGCGTAGCCTTAGATTGTCTATTTGTGCTCTTTCAGACTTTGTGATGTACATATTTAATGCCAAACATTCCTCATAGCACTGCTTTTGCTGTATCCCAGAGGTTTGGATAGGTTGTATCAAGATTTAGCACAACTGCAACCTTACTACTGGCCAACGGCTTTTGAATTCCTAAGAGTGTGACCTCATTTAATCCTGACAAGAGCTTTATGATTGCTTTTCATTCAGTAGGCCATGATTAGAGAGGGAGTGCTTGTGACCTGGATGCAGGGTTCTCCAGTTTATCAAATAATAACACCAAAGGTCAGTTAAGTTTGAATTCAGTAAAATAATGACAAAGAATTAGTATGTGTAACTCTCACACAATATTGTTCATTTGAGACACAAACTTACCTGTGTACCCTGTAGTTCATCTGCCAACTGCACACAGGGTTCAAAGGCTGGAAGAGGCAGAGTTAGAGCCGGTCTCCTCTTCCTGATGCCAGGTCTATGAGCTGAACCTCAAAGACAGGGCTTCTCTAACACAGCTACCCTCAAGTGAGCACCTCAGTTAGCACTAAATACACGGTATATGATGCCCAATTAATAATGCCTTCTCACTTTTCTAATTCTTCTTTCTATTATTCTTCAAATATGCAGACTCAGGACCTCCCCAAACATTGTGAGAGCCAGGATTCTGAATGAGGGTACTCATATGTCTTTCAAAACAAGATGCAAGGGTGCTCCTTGGGTTTCAGATGAAAGGAAATGGTGTGTAATGGTTTATTCATTCAAATCAACTTCCTCTTCTTATCTCCCAGTCCCTTCATAGAACCTCTGTCCAGACAGTCACCGGAATACATTTCCCAGGTGGGGTGGAGAAGGCCAGGTTGGCTGAATCTGGTTCCGCGTGAGGATATAGCTGCTGAGCCCAGTAAGCAGTGAGCAGATGATACAGGGTCACAGCAGGATTCTTCACGTGTCCTTATCCATAGACCTCACAAGGAAAAACCTACAGCACCCTGAACAGGTATCTCTTTCATTTCAAATATGGACGTTCTGGGGAATAATACTGAATGGCTCTTGTTGTCATTTTTGAATGGTCTCAAATGATTTCTCAAAGATTCTACAGAACATAGCCGATTCATTTGGCAAGTTAAAAGGCTGAATGAGACTGTGAGAGACTCCCTGCTCATCATCATTCTTCTTCCACTTCCAGTGACTGCTCTTATTTTCTGTGTCATAAGCTGATAGCTGCCGATCCCAGGATCTTGTAATCCCTCTGTAAAACTGGTGGCGTGCTGCACACTTTGCCAGTTGGGACTTTTTATCTTACTGTACTTTCTAAGGAGTGAATAATCCTGTCCAAATAACTAACATATTGAAAGACACTTCCTTCTGTGGGTGCTGATTCCATGCTTTCTGTTTTCCAAGTAAGTGCTGAGCCCGTTTCTGAGAATACCTGGAATCGATGGCTGTCCCTTCCAAACCAATCTAAAGTGATTTCTTTTGGCATGTACTTGGTTTTGTTATTGATTTGAAAATGTACCTTTGAACACTGAGATCTCTGAAACTACTAGATCTTTGCAAGTGCGACTGGGAAAGAAGCTTCCCTGCAGCTTTTACAAAATGAGAAACTCTTTCCAAATAAAACTTGTATTGAAGTTAAAAAAGAAAAAGGATAATGTGAGTTTGGAACCTAGGAGATCTGGGGCTTCACAAGAGCACTCTCAGTTCTGAAGCTCATTTTCCAGTCAGGGCTCCCCAGCAATCCTTCACTTCTTATGATTCCCTGGTAGGACTCACATAACTCACTGAAAACTGTGACATTCATTAATATAATTTTTCTACAGCAAAATAATACAGATTAAAATAATTCAAGGGAAACGGCACATGGGCAGAGTTCAGGAGAATTCCAAGCACAAGAATCCAGTTGTCCTCTCCCAGTGGAGTAATAGGCAATGTTGCATTCTGCTGGCAACAGTGTGTGATTCTATGTAGGAAGCATCGCCAACCAGGAAAGCTCACCCAGGTTTGGTTTCCAGAGGATTTTGAGTGATGGGGTGGGTGAGAGTGGGATCGTTATGCAGACCCTGTTGATTATCCTCATGGCTCACTTGAGTTTCTACTCAATTGGAATTGACAATAAAATTTTAACCTTCAGGCTTTGTCATTAGAAAAACAATTTCTCTAAAGTAAATTATTTAAAAAATTCTCACTTAAACGAGCTGTTTATCCAATATAAGGCTCAACACAAATAGTTACATAAAGCCAGTAGGTCATTAAAACAATTAATTTACTCATTCAAATAAAAATGAACACCATGTAACACCAAAATCCAATTATAGTCACAGGGGCAGGATTTCAGCGACAGCAAGAGAAAGTAGTACAAACAGGAATGAGCAACAATAGACAATTAATGGGTGTGAATTGGCCTGGAAAATATTGTGGCAATGTCCATAGGTAAATCAATAGTTATTTGTTATACAAGGGAAAGACAATGCATACTCAGTCCAGGAAAGCCACCAGGGGGCGGTCTGGGTCTCTTGGATTATAAGAAGCTCAAGAGGGTCAAACTTAATGAACCCTGCACAGCTGGTCACTGACTCATGTAAATGTTAAAGCAGTTGCTTCCTCCCACAGGGCAAATCCACAGCACACAGCCACTCTGGGCTGGCCCCTCACCGTGTAGCTGCTCTCAGGGCTGTGGACCTAGGTGGTGATAAAGACAGTAAAGATTTGCATAGAGCAGCACACAACACACCCCCTCCCTGTGGAGAGCTCAATAGGAGATAAAGAGCCATCAGAATCCAGCCCCAGCTCTGGAGCCAGAGATCCCTTCCAATATCAGCACCATGGCCTGGACTCTGCTCCTCCTCCAGTTCCTCCTCACTTGCTGCCCAGGTTAAGAGAGATTTCAAATACCAGCCTTTGGAGGGTTCCTTGTGTCTCCCCTTCTAATTCCTAACATATGTCTGTTTTTTGTTTCAGGGTCCAATTCTCAGGCTGTAGTGACTCAGGAGCCCTCAATGACTGTGTTCCCAGGAGGGACAGTCACTCTCACCTGTGCTTCCAGCACTGGAGCAGTCACCAGTGGTCACTCTCCACACTGGTTCCAGCAGAAACCTGGACAAGCCCCCAGGACACTGATTTATAATACAAACTACAAACACTCCTGGACCCCTGCCCGGTTCTCAGGCTCCCTCCTTGGGGGTAAAGCTGCCCTGACACTGTCAGGTGCACAGCCTGAGGACGAGGCTGAGTATTACTGCTGGCTGCACTATAGTGGTGCTCAGCACAATGACAGACTCATAAAAGGAACCAAGACATAAACCTCCCTAGGCCCTTGTGATGTGGAGATCA